TGTATGCAACATTCCATAGAGGAGACCTGTAACCCACACTAGAATTATTATTTCAGTACAGTATTTCCAATTCATCACCATCTCATAGTGCAATGGATGACAAATGGCAATATATCGATCATATGCCATGACTGTCAAGAGGGATAAATCAGAAGCTGCAAAAGAAACAAAAAGGAAGACTTGAGCAACACAACCAACATAAGAGATGCATCTGTTGTCCATGAGCGAATTGATCATGGATTTTGGGACAATCACTGAAGCAATGCCCAGATCCTGCAAACCCAAATTCATGAGAAAGAAGTACATGGGGCTGTGCAGTTGACGATCAAAAGCAACTGCAGAAATGATGAGAAAATTTGTTGTTACTGTAGCGAGATATAACACAAAGAAAAAGAAGAAATGCAAAAGCTGCAAATGTCGATTTTTTGAAAATTCCAGAAGCAGAAAATAAGGCACTGTGGTTTGATTCTCCATGTTCATTTATGATAAAACTGGTATAACTGCAAGGAAAGAAAGGAGGGAAATTTAATTAGATAAAATTTTGGTGGTGGCATTTTGATATATGGAGAGAATAGAAAACATCAAGAAATGTAAATGATGGACAAAATGAGCAGAGGATCAGAGCATAAAAAATAAAATCATAGGATGGGGATATTAGAACAAACTCTTTTCCATTTTTACCCATCTCTAGTAAAGGACCAATGACCAATGAGAGTTTGGTCACAGAATGATAAACAACCTATTACGGCTCAGTATTTTTTTTAAATGTGAACCCATGTTTTCATCAATAATACTGAAATGTTTTAAAAGAAACAAATAAAAAATAATACAATACAATACAATACAATACAATACAATACAATACAATACAATACAATACAATACAATACAATACAATAATAAATAAAATAAAATAAAATCAATTTCATTTCAAAATTCATTTAGATGCATGAAGCTGTGATCTATTTTTTTCCAAATTATAAAGTAAAAGATACCATTAATATCAACATAAAAATCTCTTCAAATTTGATTCTGATTCCTAAGAACTTTAGAATTTCTGTACGAGGTACATATTTTTAATAAATAATGTTAAAAAAATTTATTTCCTAAAAGCATCTAGCTTCTCTATTATATCAGAACACTACCTTATGCAACCATTTGATTCAATTGTCTTCCTAGTGGAAGAATTATAAAGTTAACCCTGAGTTATAACACATGAAATATATTGAAATAAATACCAATTTGCACCTTTTGTTAAACTTTCAACTATAGATTTTTGGATTATATTTTAAAGAGTGTTATGTATCTTACCATTAAGTCAATGCTGTCCCACTAATTTTCATGTAGTGGAACACCTATCTGCAGTCATAGAGATTTCTATTCTGAATGTTTATTAATAGCTGTTTTGTTTCCCTCAAGAGATTTGTACACCAAAATGAAAATGCAATATTATAACTATTCTTGGAACATTAGGAGGTATGTATTGCGTTCCTAATGGATAATTACCTTAATAAGTACAGAAAGAAATCAGTTTTATTTTTGTTTGCTAACATTAGCAAACAAAAATAAAACTGATTTCTCTGTGCTTATTAATGTAATTGTCCATTAAGAACACAATAATAGATACCTCCAAATGCTCCAGGACCAGTTATAATATTGCATAATAGTATCTGAGCTTATTAACAGAATTGGAGCTGCAATCATATCAGCAGTGCAAATTGTGAGAGGCAAAACATGAATCAAATGAGAAGAGTTCCTTGAACCATGTTTCATCACTTCTGATTCTCTTTCACCTCCAGCAGCTTTTTAAACAATCTGAGCTCTATTCTCCATGCTACCTATGGGGGAAAAGCTTGAACTAGGCTAGGTAAGCCCACATTATTAATGCAGGGATGAAAAATTTAAGCCTTTCTACAAACCAAAAAGGGAAAGGCAGAAAAGAGATTTCAGGAAACCCAAAGAAACCAGTGACATCTGTTTGAGTGTCCAAAAAAGCAAGACAATTATTGCACTGTTGTATTCTAAACCACATTTCTTTGAAGGGTGCATTGGATTGCCTGATCAGACTGCAGATGCATACCTAAAACAAGTCTCATAGAATGAGATGCAATGTAAGTCCACAGATTCTTATAAAATAACTATAATAGAATATAGATAATATAGTAAATCCATAGAATTGGTAAAAAGAACTCACAGAACAAGATACACAGCAAATAAGTTTTAAAAAGAGAATTATACAAATACTTAAATTAGAAAATAAGTACATCCTCAATTTTATGTAGAAATATTATTGTGTGGTAAATTGTTGATAGTTGATAATTGCAGAATTTCTTTCTTTCTACCTCCACATTAAGCAAAATATCAAAAAACAAATTTCAGCATTTTTCTTATTTCAGCATATGAAATATACAGAACCACGCACAGTAAGAATATATCTAGATGCAGATTGGTAGGATGTCCTCTTTCTGCATGTGGTAATTCAGTAGCTTTGGCTTGGTAGAAAAATCAAAGTCATAGCTGGAAAGAAGGAACATCCCATTGGGAGGGCACAGCACGTTATAGAAAGTACAAGATTCTTATGCTCATATAAGCTAATAGAAATAAAGGCTACACTTATTATTTGTCAAGGGTGATCGCAATAGCGGTCACATTGACAAAATCACTTCATCGATATTTTTATGCCTGTCAATTAGTTAATAAATGAACTGAAGTCTTATATGACTTTATAAGAAAGGGGTAGAAGATACCCTTTCATGGCCCTGCAAATTGTAGAAGGCTTGATTACCTCAAGAGTGTTTCAGCTCTACCAGTTCTTAATGGTTCTGGTCAACCTCATTTCTTCCTTCTTGCCATTTTGGTTCGAACCTTTATCTTGCTCATATTTTACAAACCATGTTTAAACACAGTGCCTTAACACATTGCCTGAAAACAGCTGAAAATCTATGCAGAAACAATATCAACCATGGTATTTACACCAAAGAAATGAGGAAAGCATTTTAAAAAAACTGCCTCCAAGCTGTCTCTCATCTGTATAAGAAGGAAGGAAAGGAAAACACAATCAGGCTTTCAAGACTATATAAGAATAATTCCAGTTAAACTTGAGAGTTGGTGTCTTGACTGTCCTATATCAAAAAGGAGCTATTTCACCAAATTCAGAGTAAGATTTTGTGTTACAGCATGGGTAATCATATGCCATAATTTTGAGGCAGAGTAGTGGCAATGCTAATGACCATTGTACTTGGACAAGTTTAGTGATGCATTTTGATTTCTCTATATTAAATCTAAAAGTTTATATCCTTTCAAGCTAACTTCCTTGTGTTCCCCTTGTATTTGCTGAATAAAAGGAGTGCATAATCTTCACATAGTGCCAAAGTTCTTAATATTTCTGAAAGTCTCAGACTTTTTGTTCCCATCCCAGAGATCTGGACATCCTCAAATGGAATGGGCATTCAAAAGACTCTTGAAGGGTATAGGATCATTCTTCTATGACACACAAAAATGTGAATATGAGACATGGATTAGAAAGTGACATCCACACAAGTTAAGTAAAAGTTGAAAGACTTTATTGAGTAAAGCAGAACAAAGTAATAACTACAACCACAGAATATACTGTAAACATGAAATTACATAAATAAGGCAAGTAAACAAGAAATCAATCATCAATACAGGTGCATAAATTTAGGAGAAAATTTTATATCCTTTTAGTTTAAATCTCAGGTGATTCCACCAGGCATATAGCACATTCCCAAAATACACTTATACTAAGGTTCAAATTATTGGTGAATCTTCATTTAAATATACATGTTTTAAAATAAATTTTTAAAAAAAGTATTGGACAGATGTAGACATAGATAACACAAACCTGGATAGGGCTTTTGGTATATTTTTTCATGAGCTTGGATGAAACATTTCTCAGGCACATTTCAATAAAATATCACCCTGGTGTACAGTTATTTATACTCCTTTTTTGAAGTGTTATGCAATGGAGCATGTCTTATCTCTTCCAATTTGTATCAAGTTCTACTGTTTCTGAAAGTTTATACAATGTTCTCTTACAATTTTGACTTACACATCTTGCTTTTTTAGTTCTGGTGGTTCTCAAAAAGTTATGGTAGTTAGTATCATCTTATCCTTCCTACCCATCCTAATAAGTTTCTCATCTTGCCAAAGTATTTCTAAGGGAAAGAAAGAATGCTCTGTTGTGCGTGTGAAAAACAGTTTGATGTAGAATTCGATGAATCAAGGTTAAAACCAGTAGAGAGTGATATCTAGTCCTGCAGTAGAAACGAAACAAAATGGGTGATTTTAGGCCCTCTTCCTTAGCCCTAGGAAGGAAACTATGGAAAACCACTTCTGAAAAACCTTACCAAGAAAAAATGCAGGTATTTGTCTAGGCCAGGGGTCTTCAAACTCAGCAACTTTAGGACTTGTGGACTTCAACTCCGAGAATTCCTCAGCCAGCCTTGGCTGGCTGAGGAATTCTGGGAGTTAAAGTCCACAAGTCTTAAACTTGCCAAGTTTGAAGACCCCTGATCTAGGCAGATGTGATGAGTTAAGGCTAATTCAAAGGTACAAAATATCAAAAAGAGTGAGCAACTGACTGTTTAAAGAGATCACTTTGGAACAGCTAAAGATTTCATTTGCCATATTATGTACAAGCAATGAAAGGGAAACCGTTTTATACAGAAAAGCACAAAGACGAAAAAACCCCCTCTTCATTACATTTCTTTTCCACGATCACATTACTCCACAATACTCACTTCATGAAAAATCAAGGGGAGTCACCCTGTGGCATTCCAGAGGCTGCCAAACATCCACATTAGGAATCTCAAAAGTGTACTAACAATAATTTGGGATGCAGAATGTTTGCTGACTAACTTTTTGAGTTCTACCATTCTTCTGCATTAAAAGAAATGGCTTCTTTTCTAACTTTTCTTTTACTTCTTTGAATAAAGAATAAGGCAGGAGAATGGAAAACTGTGAACAGAATACAAACAACGTTAAAAGAATTTTTCAAATCTCCACAGTTTAGAAAGGACAAATTTGATATTCTTATTTCTCATGCTATAGATGATTGGATTGAACAGGGGTGGAAGAAGGGAGTACAGAACAGTCAACCCAAAATCGAAGTAAGATGGAGTGTTAGATGGAGGTCTCATATAGGCAAACCATCCAGTTATTAATAACATAGATACTACTATAAGGTGGGGAATACAAGTGGATAAGGCTTTTTTTCTCCCTTGTTCAGAAGGGATTCTTAACACTGCCTTGAAGATTGTGGCATATGACACAATAACAAAAATAAAACAACCTAGTCCAACAACAACACTGGCCACAAGAACACCAACCTCAAGACAATTGAAACGAGAGCAGGATAGTTTTAACAATTGAGGAATTTCACAGAAAAATTGGTTGACAACATTAGAACAAAACAGGATTGTAAAAGTGCCAGTGGTATGCAACATTCCACAGAGAAGACCTGCAACCCACACTAGAATTATTATTTCAGCACAGTTTTTCCAATTCATCACCATTTGATAGTGTAGTGGATGGCAAATGGCAACATACCGATCATATGCCATGACTGTCAGGAGGAAAAAATCAGAAGCTTCAAAGGAGAGAAAGAGAAAGATTTGAACAATGCAGCCAACATAAGAGATGTGTCTGGTACCCATGAGAGAATTTATCATGGATTTTGGGACAATGACTGAAACAATGCCCATGTCCTGCAGAGCTAAATTCATGAGAAAGAAGTACATCGGGTTGTGCAGGCGATGGTCTAAAAATACTGCAGAGATGATGATAAAATTTGTTGTTACAGTTGCCAAATATAACACAAAGAAGAAGAAGAAATGCAAAAGCTGCATATGCCGATTTTGTGAGAATTCCAGCAGCAGAAAGTAAGAAATGGTTTGATTCTTCATGTTTCATTTAGAGTAAAGCTGGCATAACTGCAAGGAAACAGAGGAGGGAGATACAATTAGATAAAATTTGGGAAGTGGAACTTTATATGTGGTGAGAATAAAAAACATAAATATACATATAGCATGGACAGAATGAACTGAGGATCAGAGAATGGAAAACATGAATGTAGGATGGAGATATAAGAGCATTCTTGTCAATTTCTGTGCATCTGTCTAAAGAACCAATCACCAACCCCATAGTTTTCCTTCTTTCTTCTTTCCAGTACTCTTCCTTCATGTATTAATCAAAAGGAGTAGAAAAACTTCATTTGGGTTCATTTTCATCAATGGAATACTACAGGGAATAATTGGAGCCATCATTATGTACCACCACTCCTATAGGATTGGGGTAGTATTGGAAAATTGGATGTCGTATATATGGTGCTTTATGCTTCTACAAGAAGGGCAATGCAAATCTAGCATATAAATAGAGCAATCAATTTCCTGCCTTGATCAGAAGGGATTCTTAATACTGTCTTGAAGATCATTGCATAAGATACAATAATAAAAGTAAAACAACCTAGTGAAACAATGATACTGGCTATAACAATTCCAACCTCAAGTAGATTTAAGCCAGAGCAGGATAATTTTAGCAATTGTGGACTTTCACAAAAGAATTGGTTGACATTAGAACAAGACAGGATGGAAAAAGTGTCAATGGTATGCAACGTGCCACATAGAAGATCTGCAAACCACACTACTATTATTATTTCAGTGCAGGCTTTCCAATTCATCACCATCTCATAGTTTCTATGTTAGTATTAAATGGATGTTTTGCCTATGGGAGACCTCCCTCTAACACAGTATCTTACTTGGATTTCAGGTTGACTGCTCTGTATTCCCTCCTTCCACCCCCTCTACAATCCAATTATCTATAGCATGAGAGTGTTAAAAATCTTACCACTAAGTAAATGCTGTCCCAATAATTTTTCTGTATTGAAACATCAATCTGCAGTCATATAAATTTCTATTCTGAATGTTTATTAATCTTTGTTTTGTTTCCCTCAAGAGACACGTACACCAAAAATGAAACTGACTTATGTGTGCTTATTAACATAATTGGCCATTAAGAACACAACAGTTTCCTCCAGGAGATGTTATCATATCATATAGAATAATAATATCTCAGATAATTAACAGAATGAGGGCCACAGTGTAAATTGTGAGAGGTGAAACAGAATCAAGTGACAAGACTTCCTTGGTGCATATTTCATCATTTGTGATTTTCTTTCATCTTCAGCTTTTAAAAATTTCTAACTCTATTCTGGATGCCATAGATACCTTGGCTAGGTATGTCTACATACCTAGAGGTGGAATATAATTCTTCAAATTATAAAGGGAAAAGGCAGAGAAGAAATATCAGGAAATATCAAGAAATATCACAGAAACCTAGTGAAGGCTGGACAAGAAGCAATGGGTGGAAACTAATCAAGGAGAGAAGCAATCTAGAACTAAGGAGATTAAAGGACTGTCACTCTTGTTAATTGGTCACCTTGTTGGACGGAGGTCTTCGCCACTTACGAGGTTGTGACCTTCAAAAATTCTTCTCTGACCTGTCGGTAAACAGGTTTTACCATATCCCAAAGGACGGACTCGTCCCCCAACCTGATCTACACCTTCAAGGTCCCTTCCAACTTTACTATTATTATTATTATTATTTACACAATAAAACAATAGAACCTGGTGGCATTTGTGAAGAAGTCCAAAAAAGCATGATTATTGTACTGTTGTATTGCATGCCACACTCCTTTGTAGGGAGCATGTGGCTGCCTGATGAGACTGCTAATACATACCTAAAACAAGGCTCAGAGAATGAGGCACAATGTAAGCCCGTAGAAATGTGTAGCTTTTATAATAATAATAATAAAATAAAGTCATAGAAATGAGTACAAAATCTCATAGAGCAAGATACAGAGTGGTTAATATTTAGAAAAGGAGTTATGCAAATATTTGTACTGGAAAATCAGTGTACATATCATGTATAAAATATTGGTAATTGATAATTGCAGAATGTATTCCCCCAATGAGCAGTACCACTTCCAGAATAACCCATTAACATCCCATCTGACAAAACACCAAGACACAGATTGCAATGTTTTTCATACCTCAGCATATTTTACTCAAGTATAGAACATTTGCAACGATTATAAAGTATAATCACAAAAAATTTAAGAAATATACACAGTAAGAATGTCTCTAGAGGCAGATATAATGTATGCAATTCTTATACTTCTGTAAGAAAGAAAGGCTACACTGTTATTATGTGGAAGGAAAGGTGGTCAGTACATCAGTATTTTGATGCCACACTCAATTCTTTTATATACGCACTGAAATCTTACCTTGATAGGTGAAAAGGGTAGGAGATAGTCATGGTTCTGCAAGTCTCCTTTTTTTGGACAAGTAGATCTTCTTTCCTAGAAGTCTTGATTACCTCAAGAGTATTTCAGTTCTTTCAGTTTTTAATGATTTTGGTCAAACTAATTTTTCTTGTTCCCATTTTGGATTGAAACTTTATCTTCTTCATATTTTACAAACCATGCTTAAACACAGCATGCCTTAACATAATGCCTGAAATCAGTTGAAAAACTATGCAGCAACAATGTCAAAAATGACATTGTCTGGTCATCTCCAGATGGAGCGGTCATTAGAAAGGCTCTTGAATGATATGTGCTGTATACAATATATGATGTTCACGAATAAGAAAGTAATAGCCACACAGATTAGGCAAATGTTGATAGACTTTATTGAGTAAAACACAGCAAAGTAGTAACTATAACTGCAGAAGTACAGTGTGGACAAGGAATATCCACAAATAAAGCAAGAGTACAAGAAGGAAATACAGAAATATAAATATAGGAGAAAATGTCATATTCTTTTAGGTGAAACCCCTCACCCACAACAAAATGTATTCATATTGCCTAGGTTATTTCAGTATCCATATGGCACCTTCCAAAAGTATACTTATACTGATCCATGAAGTATTTGTCCTATCTTTATTTAAATATAAATTTAATGTGCATTTACATGAAAATGTATTTTAAAATGTATTTGGACAGATGATGGCATAAATAACACAAAAGGCATAACCACAAAACCTGGACAAGGCTTTTAGTGTGCTATCAGCGGCTTGGATGAAATCTTCAGTAAATTTTAATAAAATCTCATTCTGATGCACATCTATTTAGATTTGTACCTTCGGGTACTAGACAATGGAGTATTTCTTATCTCTTCCAATTTACATCATGTTGCATGGTTACTGTAAGCTTATATGATGTTCTATTACAATTATGACATAGACTTCTTGCCTTTTCATATTGCCATGGTTATAAAAAAGTTACAGTAGATAGTAACGATCACCCATCCTGCCTACCCTACCAAGTGCCTGATTTTGCTAAAGCACTTCTAAGAGAAAAAAAGAATACACTTGAACTAAAATAAGTAAGAACCTGTTTTGTGTGGTGCTTAAGGCACCACACTAGAAATCAGGAGACACTGATGTTTAGTCCTGCTGTAGGAATGAAACCAGATGGGTGACTTTGGGCCTGTCACTCACT